CTGGTATACATTAGATGTGTGTATGTACAATTGTCTAATTTGACATATAGTTGACTGGTTACGTGCTAGTATACATTAGATGTGTGTATGTACAGTTGTATAATTTGACATATAGTTGACTGGTTAAGTGCTAGTATACATTAGATGTGTGTATGTACAGTTGTCTAATTTGACATACAGTTGACTGGTTACGTGCTTGTATACATTAGATGTGTGTATGTACAGTTGTCTAATTTGACATATAGTTGACTTGTTAAGTGCTAGTATACATTAGATGTGTGTATGAACAATTGTCTAATTTGACATATAGTTGACTGGTTATAGTGCTAGTATACATTAGATGTGTGTATGTACAGTTGTATAATTTGACATATAGTTGACTTGTTAAGTGCTAGTATACATTAGATGTGTGTATGAACAATTGTCTAATTTGACATATAGTTGACTGGTTATAGTGCTAGTATACATTAGATGTGTGTATGTACAGTTGTATAATTTGACATATAGTTGACTGGTTAAGTGCTTGTATACATTAGATGTGTGTATGTACAGTTGTCTAATTTGACATATAGTTGACTTGTTAAGTGCTAGTATACATTAGATGTGTGTATGAACAATTGTCTAATTTGACATATAGTTGACTGGTTATAGTGCTAGTATACATTAGATGTGTGTATGTACAATTGTCTAATTTGACATATAGTTGACTGGTTACGTGCTAGTATACATTAGATGTGTGTATGTACAGTTGTCTAATTTGACATACAGTTGACTGGTTACGTGCTTGTATACATTAGATGTGTGTATGTACAGTTGCCTAATTTGACATATAGTTGACTTGTTAAGTGCTAGTATACATTAGATGTGTGTATGTACAATTGTCTAATTTGACATATAGTTGACTGGTTAAGTGCTAGTATACACTAGATGTGTGTATGTACAATTGTGTAATTTGGCATATACATGTAGTTGATTGGTTACGGTATACTAGCGGTATACATTAGATGTGTGTATGTACGATTGTCGAATATGACATAGTTGACTGTCCCTATGTGCTAGTATACATTGGATGTACATTTACATGTGTTTCATAGGTTATTGGAGGGAGTGGCTGTTTAAATTCGCTCGTTTATGCTCGTGGATGTCGTCAGGATTTTGATTCGTGGGAGAAACTTGGTGCCTCTGGTTGGGGATATAATGATGTTCTTCCATACTTCAAGAAGTCGGAAAATAATACTAAGTGAGTTAGTTACCCATATGAAACAAATCGTACATTACACACATACAGAGGTGAATTATAGTGATTCGAACATTTAAGTGTCACAAAATGTATCAAAAAACTACAAGTAAAATATAAATGTTTTAGCGTTCTATGAGAAACAAATTGAAATATCATGACTAATGTTTTAAATCGTAGTGCCAGGTATGCAGCAACCAGTAGCCATCACCAAGGAGGACCAATGACTGTTAGTGATACTGCACCTGTAACCAAACTTCCGACGGTTGTAATGGATGCAGGTGAGAACGAGAACTTGACATTTGTGGATCAGTGTTATATCATACTGAGCCTAGTGTCTGTGTATTCACATATATATACTCATGGTTCTAAATGAAAAGGTTTATTGATTGTAATATCATGGAAGTGAAATTATTATTACCATTAAATAATTATTCGTTGCAGTAAGAGAACTTGGTTATAAAGAGAAAGACATCAATGACGGAGAAATGGTAATGCTCGCTCGAAGCTTGTAATTAGTGTTATATGTATATAATGAATTTCTGGGAGAGGCTGCATTCAACACCATCGAACTACATTTATTGTTAGCCTTTATGTAACCATTCGACACTTATCATTTTTCTCTTAATCCCATTTATATCCTCCAAAAGAATACCTTTCGTCTCATATCATTCAAAGATAAATTCACTCGCAGCCAACTTCTTTTTCATTCAATTGCTATTTTATATATTTACAACCAATTTAAATATCAAATCAGTACTTTTATTCACGATCTTTATTATCACACTCTAACACGTAATTTAGATAATTATAATTCACATTTTCTTATCCCAAAGAACACTTGGACAATTTTCATTTGATTACCAGGGAATTATGTTGTGGAACAGGTTACTCCTTGAAATCAGTAACAAATGAAACAACAAATGTATTTGACACAGTTGTCCCCCAAGATTTAATGACTGATTGGTTGTTAGAGTGGTTAATGGATTTGTTAATTTGATTGGTTAGTTGATTGGTTGAGCGATTGGACAGTTCAAGTTGATTAGTTCGTTGATAGACTTGTTTGGTTCTTGGGTGGTTGGTTGGTTAGTTGGTCGGTTGTTTAATTTGTTAGCAGGCTGATTATAAATTGGTTGATTGATTGGTTAATTGATTGATTGATTGATTAATTAGTTGGTTGATTGGTTGCTTAGTTTATTTATTTATTTTACAGACTCACTAATATCTCAAGTATTCTAAGTAATAAATGAAAATAGCCTCGACTGGCTCTTTTTTAGCGAACTGCTGTTTCCCAGCAATATATGCTAAACTACAGCTATTTAGTTACTCATTTAGCTGTTTGTTTATTTATGTACTTATTTATTTGTATTAAGCACATTACTACATATACTTAACATATTGGTCAGGACCACTTTTATGTGTTACGTACAATCAAATCCAATCACATTCATAGTGTTATTCTACCCAAGAATGAATTACGCACACTCAGAAATGATAAATGTCCAATAGTGTTAAATTCAGAGCCTAATTGAACTATTCAGAAACACACAAGGAATTACCCTAACAGATATCTACAACACCCGCTTATTTGCTGTAAACATAATAATCTGTCATTGAATATTTGTCATTACTTTTCATATGGAATTTAACTTGACATATTGAAAATATTTTAACTCGATCCATTTGTACCAATTGATGATAATAGAGTCAATAAAAAGCTACCATGGGACGAGAGAAGATTTTACTTAATTATATTTATATTTGTAATTATACACAGTTCATATGAATTTCGTACTCATCATCTCTTGACAGCTTGGATTCATGAGAGCGCAGACAACAGTTTCCCAAGATGGCCGCCGTCACCATACTGCGAATGCATTTTTACATCCTGCTGAAAACAGAAAGAACCTAACTATACGTGCAAATTCCGTTGCGTGCAAGGTAAGCATCACTCAGGTGCAGTCAACGGAGCTGTTCGTGGAAAAATTTGCTCGCAAGGGATTTTTAGCGGGCAGGCAAAATAAAACATCTTCAGTGGGAGGACATTAAAAATAGGGTTTCTCAGAGGAGAAGATTTTATTCAGGGGGCCGGCAAGTTCCACTTTTAGATTGAGCGGGTAAGGGCAAAATGCAGAATTTTCCGCGGGCATCAACAACCAAATTGCCAAAGGGGAGGAATGTTTAGACTGGCCAAAGGGGAGTAGTCCAATGGCGCAAACTGCATGATAATATCCGCCCGAGGCAGACTGTGCCGGGCTCATACCACTAATTGAATTTCCATAGACGACAATGTTAACATATGACGAGATTGTTATATGAAAATGACGAAGAAAGTTGAAAATGTGGCTCAAAAATAGGAAATCAACATGCCAGTAATCAACCATATGAAAAAAAAATAACATGTTGGCCAGCTCAAACTCTTGCAAATCTCAGGTAAACAAGACACACCTACTGTATTTGGATTGCACCAAGAGAAATCACTGGAAAAACACCAAGATTAGAACATCCATTAACACACAGAATAAACCCACAGGTACACAGCCGCTAAGTAGTAAACAAAAGACCACACGTTGGTCGGGCTACGAGCAGCCATTGGTTAATTAGTGGCATGAGACCTGCCGTTCCATTTGTGGCACTTAGCACGTGATCAATTTGACTGAACGCCACCACCGATGACAATCTTCGCAAACAATGCCAGTATTTTGCAGTCCAGTGCACGTTAGTTTTTTGGAGAGGGCAATCTGATTAAATTAACCCTTCCCGGGTTTTCCTATATGCATACCATTTTTAGTAAGTTTTTAGCACTGTTACTGGCGTACTTTCAATCATGTCCTACTACTCAATGACATATTTACACTCATTGATTTTTATCAAGCATTGGTAGTAATATCAATGTGTAACAGCTACGGACAGTCTGAGGGTGTACACTTTGTACCGGATGCGGTCAGACTAATGAGCTGGTATATACTGTTAAAATGCGCCGAAAACACAAATTTAATGAGTTAATATGTAGTATTCACTGATTATTCGAACTGTGTCGCATTTCTCGCTAAATGATGATAAACAGATGCCAAGTCAGCCCAGCTATGTATTCTAACTACCTACTAGTATTTACAACTTTATGCAGTTACGTAACGTCCTGCCAGCCAAGCGCTTTTAAGCTGTACAAACATTGTATTTGGTATTTGTAATGTTCGCTTATAAGAAATATTCGCTAATCGCGAATTTGTCAGTACATGAAGGTAAAAAAAAATACTTCTTTTTTTTACCTCCATAGTCAGAACAACTTGTTAAAAGTATTAAACATTCAATATTATATCTACTACACAATTTAACAATGAATTAAGACAGAATGAACTTGGTGGAGAGTAGATACACTGCGCGTCCAGAGGGCAGACAAAAACAAATAAGCGGGGAGAGGGCAGTGAGTAGCAAAATTGCATGGGAGAAGCCAGCGGGGAACAAAAAATGAGTGGGGAAAAGACAGTGGGAGCAAACCCGAGTAGGGAGAAGGCAGCGGGAAACAAAAACTGAGTGGGAGAGGGCAGTGGGAGCAAAACACAGTGAAATTTACTTTGGTTGAGAGGGAGGGGAGTTGCGAACAGATTGACCTCTTCCCTCCAAACTAAATTAAGCCTTAATAATGTTCATAAATTTGATTACTGTTGATCAAACATAAATTCCAAACATTTTTGCAAATTTACTTGTTGACTGCACCTGATCACTCTCAATCACAATCTGGAATCTGATAAATTGGATGTGACTATTTAACATCATAAGAAGTCAATACCAGTTCTCTTTTGAATTCCTATCAAATAGATCTTATTTGACGGACTTCGTGCTGTTGGAGTAAAATACAGGAGCCGATTCACAGATACTGAAGTATATGCAAACAAAGAAATCATTCTGTGTGCTGGCACTATTGCTTCATCACAGGTAACTAGATACCACTCACAACCCAGAGGAGATGCCAACGTTCACTGGATATTCATATCAATACTCAGAGGCACAATTCCGGCCTTATGCACACAAGTCATATATACTTATACTATAACCTTTGACTTTGAATTGGGGTCACAAAAGGAACAAGTTTTAAAGACAATATCGATCTTTCTCTGGTAGTTATATTGTGAACATACATACACATATTTGCTGTGATTTTTGACCCTTTGTTCCCAAAAATGTCCATGCCATTTCATTTAAATAGGAAATCTGTGTGAAGTTTGAAGTTTCTAACTATTATCCCCTGTAGTCCAATACTGAACGCACATAAACACATACTGTGACAATGGCCTTTGTGCGTTTGTCCAGCAATGCACCCAGGTCGAATGTGGAACACGTCTGTCATGTCTTACGGTCTTGTCTATTTTACCCTGTAGTTATATTAAAAACATACTAAACTCGTACATTGACTTAACGTTAATGTTAATGCTGTTTCTTTTAGCTTCTAATGTTATCTGGGGTAGGACCAAGAAATCATTTAGAAAATCTTGGAATTTCTGTAATAGCAGATCTGCCTGTTGGAAAGAATCTTCAAGTAAGTTATATCCTCGTTCGTGCATGTGTTGCATATATTGTTATTGTAGACTAAGTAATAGAACACCATAACAAAGAATAGTTTCTAGCCTAGAACCTTCGAGGGCGTGAAGTGGTTTTCTAAAACTCTTATACCCTGATATTACATGTATTCTCACAATTGTTATGTAAACTAATGTAATACAACACAAACATATTTTAATACATTTAAGATTTATTCTTTCTTATTCTTATTCACAAATGTGATCGCTGAGATGTGTACTGCATTAATCTGTCTCGATTACTTTATATATTTACGTATATGCAATGTTCTTAACTATGGATATCATTAACTTTCAAATATTATTGATGTTGCAGGATCACTTGATCCTTGTGCCTATGCGAATTTCAGGACCTGAGACATTGCCACCGGTAAATATTTGCATACACATAAGATATACGACCAATCATAAATTCACTAAGTGAGATATATACAGGCACGATCAAACATAAATTGACTAAGTGAGATATGCACAGGCACGACCAAACAGAAATTTTACTAAGTGAGATATGTACAGGCACGACCAAATTAAAATGCCTAAGTGAGATATATAAAGGGACGACCAAACATAAATTTTACTAAGTGAGATATATACAGACACGACCAAACATAAATTGACTAAGTGAGATATGTACAGGACGATCAAAAATAATTGACTAAGTGAGATATGTACAGGCACGATCAAAAATGATTGACTAAGTGAGATATGTACAGGCAAGACCAACCAAAAATTTTACTAAGTGAGATATGTACAGGCACGATCAAACAAAAATTGACTAATTGAGATATATACAGGCACGATCAAACAAAAATTGACTAAGTGAGATATGTACAGGCACGATGAAAAATAAAATGACTAAGTGAGATATGTGCAGGCACGATCAGACATAAATTTTACTAAGTGAGATATGTACAGGCACGATCAAACAACAACTTTACTAAGTGAGATATGTACAGGTACGATCAAACAAAAATTGACTAAGTGAGATATATACAGGCACGATCAAACAAAAATTTTACTAAGTGAGATATGTACAGGCACGATCAAACAACAACTTTACTAAGTGAGATATGTACAGGCACGATCAAACAAAAATTGACTAATTGAGATATATACAGGCACGATCAAACAAAAATTGACTAAGTGAGATATGTACAGGCACGATGAAAAATAAAATGACTAAGTGAGATATGTGCAGGCACGATCAGACATAAATTTTACTAAGTGAGATATGTACAGGCACGATCAAACAACAACTTTACTAAGTGAGATATGTACAGGCACGATCAAACAAAAATTGACTAAGTGAGATATATACAGGCACGATCAAACAAAAATTTTACTAAGTGAGATATGTACAGGCACGATCAAACAACAACTTTACTAAGTGAGATATGTACAGGCACGATCAAACAAAAATTGACTAAGTGAGATATATACAGGCACGATCAAACAAAAATTTTACTAAGTGAGATATGTACAGGCACGATCAAACAAAAATTTTACTAAGTGAGATATGTACAGGCACGATCAAACAAAAATTGACTAAGTGAGATATGTACAGGCACGATCAAACAAAAATTTTACTAAGTGAGATATGTACAGGCACGATCAAACAAAAATTGACTAAGTGAGATATGTACAGGCACGATCAAACAACAACTTTACTAAGTGAGATATGTACAGGCACGATCAAACAAAAATTGACTAAGTGAGATATGTACAGGCACGATCAAAAATAATTGACTAAGTGAGATAAGTACAGGCACGATCAGACATAAATTTTACTAAGTGAGATATGTACAGGCACGATCAAAAATAATTGACTAAGTGAGATAAGTACAGGCACGATCAGACATAAATTTTACTAAGTGAGATATGTACAGGCACGCTCAAACAAAAATGTTACTAATACTAAGTGAGATATGTACAGGCACGATCAAACACAAATTTTACTAAGTGAGATATGTACAGGCACGACCAAATTAAAATGACTAAGTGAGATATATACAGGCACGATCGAACATGATTGACTAAGTGAGATATGTACAGGCACGATCAAACATAATTGACTAAGTGAGATATGTACAGGCTCGATGAAACACAAATTTTACTAAGTGAGACATGTACAGGCACGACACAAATAAAATGACTAAGTGAGATATGTACAGGCACGATCAAACAAAAATTGAGTAAGTAGGAGCCAGCTACATTCAAGATATGTACTCGCTATTCTTCAGATGAATTTGACTATGTGGATTACCACTGTTATTTACATAAATGCTATTGATAAGTAATTGATGTGAATTTATCACTTTCACTCCTAAATTAGGATTATCGTAATTGTATTAAATTATCGTATTTACATCTAATGTATGCCACTGTCTCCTAATTGCTCTCCCAAATAGAAAAACAATATCACCGTGTTTAAATGATTTGTTTTAGGAATGGCTATCATCTGTTGGCGTGGAGGCAGTTGGATTCATCAAAACAGGGACTGATGTAAGCGGAATATTCATTATTATTATTACTTACACACTAACATTGCAAATAATCTGATACCAGGATCATTAAATAACTGTTAAAATACACGCTTAGAATAATATACATGTATATACACATTTATGTGCATTCCTCATCCCAATGTTCTCGTTTTTCTTTCTACAGCCAGATCCCAAATGGCCGGATATTCAATTGCATTGCCAAATTGGATATTATCATCGAGGTCCAAATGAGAATAGATTTCTGAATTTCTCTGAAATGTAAGATATTATTATAATTACTTTATATGGAATGAAAAAACAATTATATTACCTGCAATCATGCCTCTGATGCGTGGGAGTGGTTGCAGAAACTAATATTCATTAAGGCGAAACTAATGTTTAGGCAAAAATTATTATGGCCGAGGGGTAAAATTATGATTAGGTTTGGGCCGATAGTCATTCCATTTGTAATGCCTTAGCTTTTTAGTTGAGATAATTGCATTCAGTTACAGTATTACATGGGTATTATACATTAGTCCAATCATGCAACATAGCCTACCATATTAATTTAACATTATACATCAGGCCATTCATACTACATAGTCAGTCATATTAATTGAATAATATACATCAGGTCATTCATACTACATAGTCAACCATATTAATTGAATAATATACATCAGGCCATTCATACTACATAGTCAACCATATTAATTGTATGTTATACATCAGGCCATTCATACTACATAATGAACCATATTAATTGAATATTATACATCAGGCCATTCATGCTACATAATGAACCATATTAATTGAATATTATACATCAGGCCATTCATACTACATAGTCAGTCATATTAATTTAATATTATACATCAGGCCATTCATGCTACATAGTCAGTCATATTAATTGAATATTATACATCAGGCCATTCATGCTACATAGTCAACCACATTAATTGAATATTATACATCAGGCCATCATACTAC